TCGGTGAGGTGTGGGGATGGCCAACAAGCCATTTCCTGCCCTCAGAAGCAAAAACACAAGTGTTTGGTGCACAACCAAGCACAAAACAAGCAAGTCGAGAGGTCTTAAGGAAAGGCGCGCGACCGAAACCTCCGAGAACTCAAGACAAACACGAACATGGATGATCACCGAGTATTCAAACGGTGATATCCAAGTCTTGAGGACGGTCAAAAATAAGGTGTCTATACCATAGTACCACTCAGTGTTGCACTTTGCTAGACCTAGGGTGGTCTCAACTACCTCATTCATATTCTCTATATCTTGAAAAGAATCAAATCAACTACTATAGTTTACATGGGCAATTGTTTATCACTACGCCAAAATGGGGCTTTAGCGGCGGTTTTTTCCCGCCGTTAAAGGTTGTAAAACCGCCGTTAAAACCTTTAACGGCGGTATTAATGGCGATTTCGTTACCGCCGTTTATGCACGTGTCGGAAAAAGTACAACCGTCGTAAAAAGGTAAATTACCGTCGTTAAAAGTCGACCAAAAACGGCGGTAATATAGGACCAAAAACGGCGGTTTTTTACCGCCGTAAACAGGTTCAGATTTTTTCAAAAAGTAATTCTTTCTTCTTGCATTCCCCAAGTTTTGAACCCAAGACCTCTCATCCACCCACACCAACCACTCTGCCATAGCCACTCTTCATGAAATATATTCCCTAAATAAATATTTAAACATTACTTTTACTTTATTATAGATGGTTTCGCCGGAGCTCACCGGAGTTTCGCCGGAGCACGCCGAAGTTTCGCCGGAGCTCCGCCGATTGGGCATTAGCGGCGGGTTTGTTACCGCCGTTAAAGGCTGGCATTAGCGGCGGTTTTGTTACCGCCGTTAATAAAGGGTTTCATTACCGTCGTTAAAGACACTTTAGTGGCCGTTTTTTTAACGGCGGTAACGAAACCGCCGTTAATGATAAATTAACGGCGGTTTTCGTTACCGCCGTTAATAGTACCTTTAACGGCGGTTTTCGTTACCGCCGTTAATGCCCTATTTTGGCGTAGTGCGGGTCAAGAAATACGCTGGATCTAAATAACCAAATGTGCCTTTAACATCTGTACTAACATGGGTTTGTGAATGGCTTCTGTTTACCATTTTCGACAACCCAAAATCTGAAATCTTAGCTACCCAATTCTCGTCCAATAGAATGTTTGTGCTCTTCACGTCTCTATGTATGACAGCTTGCTCAGTATTCGTATGAAGGTAGTCCAATCCTTGGGCGGCACTAATACAAATCTCGAGCCTATCCTCCCATGTAAGCCGATAAATTTCATTCCCATTCCCTTTCCTACTATTTTTGTAGAGATGATCAACAAGCGTCCCATTGACCATGTATTCGTAAACAAGTATCATCTCCTCGCAATCATTAGAGTAGCCAATCAGAGTCACGAGATGTCTGTGCTGGAGATTGGAAAGCGTCTTGATCTCAGTCCAAAACTCTGCTGCCCCTTGTTTGGACTCTGCATTCGATCGCTTAATGGCGACAGTGGTAGCTCCACCGTCAATGAATCCTTTAAACACCTTACCGAATCCGCCTTTCCCAATGACCAAAGCATTATCGAAGTTGTTGGTCGCCAATTGAATCTCAACGAGTGAAAAGCAACGGCACGATTCCTCGGATTGATACATGATGGAATATGTGCTTAGCACACAGGATTTGGACTGGCAATCAATCGATAGAATGAGACGATGAAGGAAGATAAGAGTGAAGGGATGAGAGAAGACATGGGGATCACAAAACGAAGAAATGGAAGACTCAAATTGGGTTCCTCCTCAGGTCAACAATGCTTGGCTGGGCTGCAATTCCAGAGTCAATAACCTTACTATTTCTCCATTGACTTCCGTGACAAAAGGAGTGAAGAGGCAATAATTTGGGAGTATTTTTATACTCGTATTTGACCGGTGAAAACCACGAACACTTAACATGTCAGGAGTATCAAATAATTTTTCTGTCAAATTTCACAATGATCGAAGTTCAATAGACCATCCAATCAGAGCAATGAAAGGACTACTACTTCATTTTAGTAGGTGAAAAAATGAAAGGACTACTACCTTCTTCTTTTATTTTTTATTTTTTATTTTTTATTTTTCTTAACATGGGCTTGGGATCACCTACATGAGGCTGACCCAACCCAATCTTGGAAGTGGAATAGCTGTTGAGGAAAGGATTTCAGGCGTAATGGATGGTTGAGACGCTTGGATGATAACTTTTCTTTTAATATTAAAAAAAAATATAATTAATTTAGTAAACTGTACCAAACGAGGTCATAATTTTCCCAGAGCAATATTAGATACAAATCCTTAAGCTTCACTTACCTATCAATCAATATTCAACAGTTTAATAGTTGTCTTAATTTAGCCTATAAATTCTAATACCAAATGAAAGAAGTCTTCTGGATAAAACTCACTCCTCCAAAGCAATTTGCAAGAAGTAAACAAGGCAATAATTTGGGAGTATTTTTATACTCATATTTGAGTAGAGGGAGATTGAGAGAGAGACCATTGGACCTCTATGAGCACTTGTTTTGTTTGATAGTAAAAACTGTTACTTGTGAGATTGTCTGTGGATGTAGGTGTAAATCAAAGTATAAAACATGCAGCGGAATAAAATGTTTAGATCATACCTTTTAATGATAGAACCTCGTGGATAAATCACGTGCTTCCTGAATCTAGTCAATCAACCCAGCAGTGAAGTGATATTACAATATTGAATATCACCCACACAAATCACAGTGCAAATGGCTTTGATCGTTATTTTTTTTGGGAGAGAGTCAGTATCTTGGAAAGAAAACAAACATACATTGTTTTTTTCCACTTAATCACCCATTTCCCATATATCAGATATATAATCTATTTATCTCATTTATCCATTTGTTAAATGAGATAATATCTGATATCTATATCATCTATCCATATCATGATATGATAGATATATATCCTGAGTGGCTATCCAAATAGGTTTGAATTCAAATTCAAAAACCCATTTGGATGAGGTTCAAAAGGTTCTAAGGGTCATGCCACATGGGCGCCCAATTTCTAACAGTAGGTTCAGCCGAACAGCGTAATTCTTTGGTGTCTTGTGTGATTGTCGTTTTTTCACTATTTTTATTTATTTGTATTCTTGTCCTCAATTTACATAATCATCATCAACTTTGGTGTTGTTGAGTTTTTTTGGAAGCTCTCCGCACAATACATGGTTGCTTGACTACTGAATAATTAAAGAGGTTTTTGCGAATTTGAAACCATGGATCCAACTAGGTACACCTCTCAATCTACTCCTTTTAAACATAATTTAAGCACTTGAACTGATTGAGACTCTGGAACCATTGACGAAATTTTCTGGCATTCGAAAATTTTCTCAGTTTAGTGTTTAATTTTTGGAAAATTATACAAAGCTCTAAATCTAGAGCTCTAATTTGAGCTCTAGTGATGTGACAAAGCAAAAAAAAGAGAAAGAGAAAGCTAGCACAAGACATCACATCGAGCTCACCCATTAGAGCTCTCAATCTTTTTTCTTAATTTTTATATTTTGCAGCAAACGTGTGAGAGTAGGCAGCTTCAACATGGGGCAAGTTAGATGAGCTCCCCCTAGTCATATGTTAGATCTTGTTTTTTTGTTTGGGAATTCTATAGGATAAGATCATAGAATTTTCATCTTAGTATATTAACTAAAGAATACTTCTGTACATATATATATATATATATATATATATTTCTTCTTCATCAAAGATTTGAAATGAAAAAATATAGAGCTCATCTCTCAAGGGACACTTCAGGTCCAGTAATTTATGAGATGTCATGGCATGGAAAATGCATGATGTCTTACCTACCAATGAATATATAACTTTTTGAAATAGTTCACTTGTTTAGATTTTTAATGGGTGTTTAATCCTACTTTTAGTTCAAAATTAAACATATAGTGTACAGACAAATTTTATTTTCAGATTATGGTAAAACTTGGCTAGCAATCAAAATTTTTTATTTTATTTGTAGAAGGATGGAGTGTCTTAAAAATGTGACTGCTAATAATGTTTTATCATAATTTGGAAATAAAATTGGTCTGTATATTATTTGTTTAATTTTGAATGAAAAAACATAGAAGGATTAAAGTCTGGAGTTGTGATCCTCAGCTTCACTTGAAAGGAACTGTTAAAAAATTCTATTTCATTTCTATTTTCCGTTCACAAATCTAAAAGTCAAACATAATTGTGTGGAGTTGGTTGTTGACATGGTATAGGAACAAGAAAGATCCTTGGTTTGACTAAAACATATTAGATATTTAAATGTTGAATTTATACCTAAAATGACTGTTTACTCATTGAATAACTCTCACACAAATTTTCCTTTTTAATAAAGAAAATATCAAATCAGTAGAATTTTTAAAAAAATAATAATTACAAATCAGTGATAAACGCTTTATAAATATTAATAATTATAATTATAATTTATTTTTCATGAATATGTTTTTTTTTTTTTAATTTCACTGTGCATATTACCCCTTTTTAATATTTTCCATTTTTCTTTTGAAAATGAAAGGTTTTGGATTTTAAAATTCAGCCACAAATGTGTGCCCCATTTTGCATAGAACATTCATTTTATCTTTTTTTTTTTTTTTTTTTTTTGCACCTTCTGTCTTTTTCTTTTTAATTTTTTTGTTTGTTTGTTTGTTTGTTTATGAAATGATTGTTTCATGTCAATTATGTTAGGATTTTTGTCTTGAGAAACATGTCTATTAAACCTTTCTATTAATAATATGAGCTATATTAACTGTGTAAAGTCTAAACCAAAAGTATATATTTTTAAGGGCGCTGGGTTTATAAAATCCAATTTTAAATTCCTTTCTTGTAAAAGTCCACGGGCTACACTATTAAGTCCATAAGGATTGTCTCATTCAAGTGACTATCTGTTCGATCTGTTCTTTAGTGTTCATTGTCAATGACATCTCTCTCTCTTTCTCTCTCTGTCTCTCATCAGTCCAGCGACAACGACAAAGAACAACCCACGCCTTGTTGTTTGAACTCGCTCTTAGGGCGACTCAGCTTGCGAACTCTTACCTCGTTCCTCTTTTTTCTCCTTCGCTTCTCTATCTAACCAATCACAACATTGATTCTAGATTTGATCTAGTTCAAAACGGTTGTGTCACAATGGTGGTTCTGGTACAGACAATCAACACGATGGCTATGGACTCGGATCTCAAGAACAAGGTCAAGTCTGATCTGGAATTGTTCCTTAAGTTGAAGCAATATATGTGACGCCTCCATTCTTCACGTTGATGATTCTATGAGGAATTTTCAACGGTGGTGGTAAGTTTGAGTCAGATTCCAGTGGCCGGTGATAAAGAGAGACAGATAGAAAGAGAAATAGTGGTTCTGAGAAAAGTGTTCAGTAGTTCATGTTTCAAGAGAGAGAGAGAGAGAGAATTGGGTAACAAATAGAAACAGATTTTGACAGATAGGACCTCTCTCTCTCTCTCTATATATATATTTGTGTGTATATGAGAATTTGAATAGATGGAATAAAAAATTGAACATATAGGAAAACACAAGCTTGGTGAATTTCAACCTATAGAAAAAAATAGGCTTGGTGAATTTCAAATTTGGAACAAATAGGTTCAAAAAATTGAACAAATAAAAAAAAGATTTGAACAAATATTTTAAATAAAAATTTCATCACATAGCTTGTAATATCCTTTTGACCAAGAAATTTCCTTATGTCCCCAATAGGACCACCCTTGTCCTTAATGACTTATAGGGGTGGGAATATGGATTTATCACCAATTTATTTATTTATTTATTTATTTTTTATTTTTTTATTTTTATTATTTTTTTTTTAATCTCCTTAGATAACATTTTGTAGTATGTAACGACAAACAATTTTATAGTATTAGTGCAGGTCCTCTAACAAAACACGAAAGAAATTTTGGATCAAAATGCCGTCACAATTATATTAATAATTCACTAGGTTCGTTGTCACATCATAGTGAAATTTTGATGAGAGAAATTTCACATTTTCACACGAAAATTGAAAATTTAAGGACCAATTAAAAAAATTAGGTTTCTAATTCTAAATTTAGGACTAATAAATTCAAATTGGGGACTTTAAAAAATGACTAATTTTATATTTATTTATTAATATTTTTTTAAAATAAAACACATTGAAATTTTACTTTCCAACATTTATGAAAATTCTATTTAAGAGCAAATACAAAATTAGGTCCTTGATTCCAAATTTAAGACTAAAAAGTTTAAATTTATAGCTCCAAAATAAAATCGTTAGTGAAATTTTACAAGACTTTGGTCAAAGAAATTTCACTGACTTCTAGTTTAAGTCAGAAAAATCTTACTAACTATAACAGTTTCATTAATTTTACTCGGATAAATTTCATTGAGTACGACAAACGGTAAAAAGATAGTAGACTAAAAAAAAATACCAAACAAATAGCAACAATCAATTTATGACAACTAATAACATTCAAATGAACAAATAGATAAATAAAATAAAATAGAGAATGAGAAATTTCATTGAAGGTGAGTAACGTCTAGATCTGAAATAGTGAGATGCATCAAACAGCGAAATAGAATGGTGCTTGACAAATCAGTGATGATAATGATTGTTTCAAGTAAATAAAGCACATCCAACGCTAAACGATAGAGGGTACTGAAAAGTCGGTGGGGCAACAACAATTTTGAGTGTAAATAATAGAAGCAATGACGACAAATGCAATTGAGGTGGTGGTAGATGTTATTGAGGCTGCACCGGTAAACATAGTAGAGACAACACTGGGGAGAGAGAGAGAGAGATGATAAAGTGATGGAGAGTTCTAGAGTTTTAGGGCTATAAGATTAGTTTTGGCTATGTTAAATTTTGTCTTTATCTTCCTAGGATTTGAAATCCTAAGAAGTTTAACTAGCAAGTAAATTCTATTAGCATTTGTGTCCTCAAAAAAACAATTTGTTGACTTTATTAACTGATTGAATAAATTGCTTGGCATTTTGTGACGATCCCA